ACAAAGTAATGAAAAGAATGTTTATACAGACATAATCAATACATAAATCAATAATTATTGATACGAAGTATAAATAAATGCAGCTGTATAAAATGACTTTCCCTCTATTACGCTACAATAATAAAACTGCAATATTTTGACCATGGAAAAGTTATGTTTTATATGTAAACATTCATTGTTTATTTCACCATTATTTTAAGATTTGATTCAAAACGCACGCACTAAATAATATTGTATGACTTTCACTCATGATACTGATTGCGAGAAATATAGTTTGCAATACATTTCATAATGTGTACATAGTTATATACAAAAACTGTAATATGACATGTACGAAAACAAGTTTTGAAGCAAGCATGAATAAGAAAAATCGGCAAATGTATATTACCTCATCGCCCCATTTCAGCACATCACCTTGACGATCTCTGAGTCTTTTATACAAGTTAATAAATTGAATAATCCCATGTTTTCGTACATGATCGCCAAGATTTTTTGTTTCTTCCCAGCTTAAAGGATTTCCTTCAGAGAGTAAACCCATATTTGTATAGGTTAGCCAGTATAGTCTTCCAAATCTTTATGCTTGAAACAAAATTTTCTACAAAATCGGCACACTCTGAGTTATGCTAAGGTACACCGAGGCAGAATGTTACTTGTGTTTAAGAAATCACCCAGATATTTCACAGTGAAATGAAACATAGCACTACCGACGCTTTATATACATATCAACCAATACCAACTAGGCGCACTTCTACGAACTATTCTGTTACTTTCAATGGTGTATAAATACAAGGTAACCATACCTCCTACTATCACGTTGTGACGATACATTTATTCCGAGATATCAATTTGAAAGATTAATAGTCATCTGGTGTGACAACCTGAAGCAATCAGTTAGTCATATCTTATGATAGTCACAATGTTTGGTTTCCTTTTTGAACTTCCGATTTCACTGAGAGTATTTCTATTTTATCAATTTAATAACAAATGTAAGCAATGTTCATGTGTTATTATCGACTTAAAAAATCTAAATTTTGTACATTTTTGTGGCATTGATTGACTTATCAGATTAAATTGTAGAAGTTTATCTAATCTGTATAAATTATCTGTGAAATAGCAACTCACTACATATTATGACACAACATTAAATCATTGAAGTGGAAAATTGTGCAATAGGACAAGACACCTGAGGAGGATTAAATTTGTTTACCACAGATATTATAAAAATTGTTTTATTACAAGTAGTAGTAATAGCAGTAGTAGTTCCATGTTTTTTTAAGATCCAGTTTATAAATGATATACAAGTAATTTTTTAATCAAACAAAGCGAATCCCATGTCTTCATCTTCGGATTCTGAATCTTCTTTCTTTTCTTCCTTCTTTTCAGCGGCTGGTGCTTCCGCGGCAGCAGCAACTGGTGCGGCAGTAACCGCAGCCGAAGCGAATTTGCTTGGATCCTACAAAAATATTATTGTTATTTTACACGTGTAAAAATAACTTGCATTATTTATAATTTTTATGCCAGATATCAGACTATAGATTTTATCAACATAAATTTCTGAAGTGTCAGCGGGTTCTGCTATTTCTAGCTCTGACACCGTGCACAGAAATTTAAGACGCTAATTGTTATAATCACGTTGTACGGGATGACATACATATGTATTTTAATATAATCACGCAATTATTTTCTCAACTATTCCTTATTGCAAAATACGTGTCTAGTTGTAAGTGTTTTTGAAACCTCAAGATTATTAAATCTCAATAACCTTGTTTTTTTTAAATGCAGCTATATATTTTTCTTGATATTATTTATATTTTCATTTAAAAAGACGAATTCATTGGTCTATAATGTTGGCCTTCCAAGATTATTTATGATTCTTTAAATTCTATCTTTGTTGAATGACTACAAGATAGTACTGTTTACTTATATGCAAACGTAATCTTAGCTACATATACGAGGAAAATCTTGCAACTATTCAGCTAAGGAAGAATTTGAAGAATCATAAATGACCTTGGAAGATCAGCAAATGATAGATAAAAAAAATTCGTCTCGGAATGGCGTAGAGAAACCTGGCTAAATGAAAACATAATTCCATCAGAAAGATATAAAAGTCACCTTGAAATTTTGAAAATGCCTACACCTAGACAAAACTGGTGGTTCTTTTAAGAAGCCTCCTTTGAAATAAAATTTTATTTGTAATAGAATTACGCGATTGTTGAACAATAAATATAAACGTACTTTGATGTACTCCTTGATTGTAGCAGCTTGAGCAAATTCAATTTCAGTTACAGCAGCAATAGCTAACAGATTCTTGAATCCATTGATGATGCTGTGTGGAGCACTTGCTACTGTAGGATAGCCAATAGCTAAACATACTGCTGCCAAATTTGCAACTCCACTCATGAATTTCTCGCGAAGATCTTCTGGTTTGATGTCCAGAATTTCGGGAGCAAAAATGGTACCAGAATCATAAACTTGTTCCACAATTAAACCATATGAGAAAGGAGAGATGTTCAACATGTTCAGAAGAGTAGCTTCTGATGCTCCTACTTTGTCACCTGGTTTCAAAATGTGTACATCATTCTAATAAAAAAAATAATGAAATATGTTTTAGATATGACAATAATAGTATCAAATTAATTCATGTAAATATACGATTGCATGGTTGAAGTATATTCTATACATACCACAATTTCAATGGTACCCTTGGAAATTTTAGTCGGGATGCTCAAAGCTTGGAAGAATGATGTTTTTTCAGGTCCAAGTCCAGTGTTTTGAGCAGGGATAATAACGCTCAGTGGTGCAATAGCACCTGCTCTAGCCGGGGCTCTGACCTTATTTTCCAAAAGTTTGTCTCTTACTTCAATTAAGTCCCCACGAGTGAAAACGAAGCCAACATTGCCACGAATATGTGACAGGAGTTTTTCTAATGCTGCATTACGTTCAATGTGGCCACGTATAGCCTTTCTCATCATTGTATTTTTTCCCATTAATACGACAGCATTCCCACGAAGAGACATACGAATTTGTTGCATTTGTTTAGAGCCAACATTATCAGCACCCACAATGAAACATTTAGGGTAGTCATCCAAAAGTTGCTATAAAAGAAGAATGTAATTGTTATAAAACAATAATGTAACAAAACAAGGATATTTTTCAAGTATAAAATACTTACAACAAGCTTGGTGAAGTAGTTTGACTTCCATGTTGCCTTGTCCTCCCTACCCATCTTGTTTGTGTAGGGATACCGAAGAATTTAAGAACTAAAAAAAGGAAAAAATTTGTTAGCACATACTTCAATACAATCGACAAAATAATCATATGTAAAATGTTATCAGACTGCACACATGCGATTTCTAATCTTTTAAACCGCACACAGATGGGTCCAGCTATTTCTAGCTTCTGTGTGGTTTTCGGTTTATCAGACCTGTAATTTTATCATCATGTAATGTACTTGTTATGTTCTTCGTTCGAACACACAATCAATATATTACGGAATTCAACAATTTTCATACAATTTATAAATTATAAATTTTGCAATTTTTCTTTCTCATAAATGCATCGATAATTTTTAAAGCATAAATAAAAATTAATTGAGCTGTATACAACATATGTTAAATATTAGGATGGCAACTAAGTAATTGCCGATTTCAGTTATAGATGTCTCTCACTCCCATTTTTATGATATCCGTAAATGTTGTATTATAAAATTATTATTATTATTATGTTATTTTTTATTATCCGTGAATGTTAGCAACTGGACAAATTGGATGCAGCGGTCAAGGAAAAGCGACCAGAATTGGTCAATCGTAAAGGTGTCATTTTCCAGCAGGACAATGCTAGGCCGC